CTGGTATCGAGCCCATACAACGCCTTCCCCATATTATTATATTAATCGACCAATCAGGATTGCCGTCTGCACTGCCTCCTCAATGGCCTCAATCGCACGAGAGAATCCAAGATGGGACGTAAAGTCCGCGATCTTTTTAAAAGATATATAACGATCGAAATTAAGACACTAGTCAACTTGTAATGGCATTGTACGAGATGTAGAGGTTCTATGTTATATAGGGGTTATTAAATCTAATGTTCCTTAAATTTTTAAGCACTGGTTCAGGTTTCCTGTTACACACTAGGCACAGGGTGCCCAGGTTTGGTGGTTCTCCGCATATATTTTCCGATAAACTTGTAGGTATTAAATAAACAGAAAAGACAATAAACACAATCCATGGTTGCCCAATTGATTAAAGAATTTTTAGCCAAAAAATATCATTGAGGGGTAAAATATTGCTGGGATTTGTCAACCTAATACCTTGCTTCGAGATGTTGATAGCAACTTCATTCAGAATAACGGACATGTGTCTATCCAATCACATATAAGGATGTTTTTTTTACAATGCCCTGCCTTCGGAAATCACCACTATTGCTCATACCCGACTCTTTGTGAAACACGAACTACTGGTCTGGCGAGAGTCAGGCTATCAGTTTCCCCTACCACTAAAAATATGTTCAATAGGGTAATGCGACACCCCGCCCATCCTCTTGGATGTAGGACATTGCCCCAAAAAATAAAACTTAAACCTCTATGTGACCTGTCTGTGATGCGGATATAAATTAGATAACTTACTTACTTCTTATTTAACAACAGATCCTTCTTTAAGTTTTGGAATACCTGCGCCTCTCTCCATGAAATCACCTGTTGTTGTGCCCAGTTCCATTTAGTCCAGTCCCTTTTAACCGTACAGCCTCCCTCATTGGCGTGTCATCTGGTGACTGGAATTACTTACACAGTATGCAGATAGACTCACTGTACATCTCCCTGTCTCCTGAGAAACCACCAATGGATGCTCTGTTTTAACTGGCATTGTAACCTGAAATCCTATCAGAAACTTGCTCCACTCAACAAGACAAATCTGAGTGTTTCATCCCCTGAGTCGCTTTCCAACCGACATGTATGAAAACTTTTGCTGTTCATTTTTCCATTTTGCAGTGAAATTTATGGGGAACCCTCCTGTTTGTCAGAGGGCGGAGCCATAATAACATTTCGGTCGTATCTTGACTTGAGGAACATGTGTACCGAATTTCATGGCTCTACGACAAACTTGACCTCTGAAACTCCCATTGGCTGTTGTAGGTGGCGCTGTTCTGGTATTTTTTGAGTCCCATAAAAATAAACACCAAAATATCAAATTTTTCACCAGGTCTGATGTTTGGTCAAAATTTTACAACTTTTCATGCATGTTCAGGGGGTGAAATTAAGGCTCAAAGTGCAGAATTTGACATCTCTCGAGCAAAAACAATAGGCCCTTTCCCCGTTCGGGGCTCGGGCCTAATAAATAAATAAATAAAAAAGGAATTTTTTTTTTCGACGTCTCGAGCAAAAACAATATAGGTTTCAATGGCACGTGATACATCATTTTAAAGCTTTTGAGTTTGCGCACGCAACTATCACGTTTTGGTGAGTGACGGGCGCTGACGCGTCCGTCACGCACCGCCACCATTTGTTTTCACCATTGTGAAAGCAATAGGCCCTTACCCCGTTCGGGGCTCGGGCCTAATAAATAAATAAAAAAGGAATTTTTTTTTTGACGTCTCGAGCAAAAACAATATAGGTTTCAATGGCACGTGCTACATAATTTTAAAGCTTTTGAGTTTACGCACGCAACCGTCACATTTTGGTGAGTGACGGGCGCTGACGCGTCCGTCACGCACCGCCACCATTTGTTTTCACCATTGTGAAAGCAATAGGCCCTTACCCCGTTCGGGGCTCGGGCCTAATAAAGTGAGGTAATGCAGCTTTAAACAGGGCTACTTTAATGTCCTTCCATAAAGCTCATACTCGTGTCGTGAGCTTGTTAAAGTTCATCGGGCTGAAACATTCAGAGTTCAGGGTAAAGATTTTAAAAAATGGGCACTGGGGGTAAAGGGTTGATCTCCTACTGCATTGGTGCGGGTGGGGGTACTTGCAGCTATAGTCCCGGCCAATTGGAAGTGAATAACCCAGCCTGTCCCTCGCTGAGAACGGCTCCATCTCACGTACTGCTGCCGCTGTATACGGAGCGTCCGCCAGGCCTCCTTGTAAATGTGATCCACCGACTTTAAAACTTTAGTCACAAGACCCACATGCACCACATAATCCCAAACTCCCTGGAGCCGGTGCCAGACCCTACGGAAATCTAGGACTACTTATATTTAATTAAAGAAGCGTGAATATATCATTTTTTGATGGGTTACACGGGAGATGCTGACTTCTTCTTCTACTGATGGTGACGTGTTTCTATTGGTTAATCAGTTAACTACGGTTTCTATTGGAAGAGGAGACTGTTCTATTCAGGGAGACACAAACAGACACTATGAAAACTCTGTACAATGATTGTGTTGAGAGCAGATTGGGGCAGATGCTGTACAATTTGTCGGTCCATGCAGTAAACACTTCTTCTACTAAATAATCAGTCTGGTGTTCTTTGCATCATTGATTCTTTGCCTCTGCCTCTTTCTGTCCATCTGGCATTTAAAGGACCAACTACTTGAGCATTTAGAGTTAACTCAAGACCATGACTAGTCCATCGCTGGAGGGGTGTTCAGTTTGTTCCTGGTGAGCTGAAAACCATAAAAATATGTGCTTGGTTTACCACTTTGCAGATGGTGCAGGTCTCAAAGGGGGATCACTGTGATGAAGGATATGGAGATTTCTTATTGGCGAGACAATACAGAGAGAATAAACAGACAATAATAATAATAATGCATTGTTTTTATATAGAGCTTTTTTGGACGCTCAAAGACGCTTCACATGTCATTATTCATTCACTCCATACACAGTGGTGATAAACTACTACTGTAGCCACAGCTGCCCTGGGGCACACTGACAGAAGCGAGCCAACCAGTCTGTGCCATCGGCCCCTCCGACCACCACCAACCATTCACACACACACCAGACTCATTCTAGGCAATGGGGGTGAAGTGTCTTGCCTAAGGACACAACAGCAGTTTGGCACTTTACAGCCACAGCCGCCCCACTGTGGCATCAGGTGTTCCCAGAGGTTAAGTGTCTTGCCAAGCACACACCGACAGTAGACACAACCAACTGAGCTACTGTTGCCCTACATACAGATACAATACACAGATAATACATAGACATTACACAGACAATCCAGAGACAATCCAGGTTACCAGCTGCCTGTCGTCACGTTTGATCGAAGCCCTTTGCTAACACAGTCTGCTCTTCGCCGCAGGTCCATTCGGTGCTTGTTCCCGGACTCCGAGCAGTTTAACTTCACCACAGATGGAGTCTTTCTTTTGAACTGCACATCTGACCTTTTCACCACATGGAGGCGACGACGAGCCCTCCCCCCTCTCCCCCTCTCTCTCTACCTCTCTCTCCTTTTTGACATTTCCTCACAAAGTGCCGACCCGGAGCGGAACAGGACGATTTGGAGACAGCGCTGAACTTTTCTGCTGGAGTGGAGCTGCACGCGCTGGAGCTAAGTGAGGGATAAAAGACAGTTTCAACTTTATGGACTTTCAAAATGTGCTTTTTTCTGCACAGCTGCCAGAACAGTGACAATTTCAACTGCAAAACCACAGTAGAATGTGCCCGGGAGAGAAAGGGGGGCGGGGGGGAGGGGGGGGGGGGGGGGGGGGGAGGTCAGAGAGGGGGTGATTATGCAGCAGTTTTTGTCTGAAACTGAATTCTGTAACTTAACTTTGAGGAAATGAATATAGTACAAGCTCAACACTATTCAATTCAATTTTTTTTGGTATAGCCACTTAGACGCCACTTATGTACATTTTGACTGCCAAATCCATAGTCACGTTTCCACCGCAGGAAACTTTGGGGTAATTTTCCAGGGCCAATACACAGATAATATAAAGACAATACACAGACAATACAGAGACGATACGCGTCTTCACTTCAGGAACCTCCCCCACTGGGCCATTTACAGGAACTTTTACGAGAACCAACGGAGTCCTCAATGCTAGGTACTCCGTTGGGCCCTGAACAGCTCCTGGCGGGGCTGGAGTTTAACAGGGCAGGCTCAGACGCCAGCAGAAAGCAGCAAAACAACCAGCATATTTTAAATCCAGCAGCATTTGGCCGAGCAGACGCCACTGGAAACGACAGACAACAACAGCAAGACGTACGATAAGGGAATTGCCTTCCACGGCAACGAAGAAATTCAGACAGGGGAGAGAGGACAGTTCCTGCAGATGTCCAATCCCGCTCCTATAAACCAGGAGCTCCTTCGGTGGAAACGCGACTCATTTGAAAGTGTGTGTCCCTTTGATCGCTTGGCAACTTGGCAACTAAGATTCATATGGTTTATTAACTTTTCTCAAGATGCTGTTTCTGGTTTTAATTAGATTTCATTGGTCTCTCTCTGGTCTTTGAATAACTGGACTGTATTTTCAGCACTAAAGAACAGTTTCACTATTCTTGTATACTAAAGATATTGTCTATCAGTGTCAGTGTCAGAATCAATAGTCAAATAGGTCATAAAACAGATATAGTGGCAGTCCCTGGGGCATTCAAAGATGGCGGGATCACATGCACTGCACCACGGTGGGTCATGAAGGGAGGTCCCAGGGGGTAAAGCATGAGGGTAAGAAAACAAAAACCTATGGTTAGGATCATGGACCAGGTGACGATGTTGACCTCTCTCATTGAACTGGGCACAGGGAACCACCATCGGACGAAAAACAACGCCCAGAGTCAGGAGCAGAGACGAGCGCCCCAGATGGAGACTGTAGCCTGCGGTGGTCACAGGTTGGAGGTTGGTCATAAGTGAGAAGACAAAAAATACAAACTTACAGAAAACCTGAGAGTGGGAGAGGTTCAGCCAGAATCTCAGGTCAGGAGAAAGGAAACATGCAGAGGAGCTGGAACCCAGACTGGACAGGAGCACAGGGGACCAGGGGAGATGATGTGCCCAGTGGTGGCTCTGACGGCCGGACAGAAGAACACACCATGATGGAGACTACAGTCTGGTAGTGGTTCTGGGTGAGGCAGAGTGAGGTCCACAACTGGCAGAAGGGGATATGACCTTGGCAGAGATGAGGCTTCAGGAGAAACATCAAGGTGTGGGTGAAAAAAAAAAAAAGTCTGCAGAGTCTCTAAGTGGTTTGTCGATTCTGTCATGAGGTAAAACAACAAAGGACCCAAAAGCAGAACTGTAAAATAATATAATTCAATGTATGGGGTCTAAACACACAAAAATAGGTGTATTAAATCAGGGCGGGGCAAGCAGCAAGACAGACAGGAAAAGCTCAACAAGACAACAAATATATATATATAAAAAGAAAACACACCCTGACAGTCACATCTCACACATCACTGACCCTTCACTCATTTTATCATATATTTCAAATTTAAGATATTCATATTCTACAACATGTAATAAGTATTTACATCATTATGGTTTTCTTAATTGCCAAAACAATGCATAATATTTATTCTTTGAGTGGTCATACTGTAGCTGCGTGTGAAAGCTAGATTGCGTCAGACCTCTGAAGATAAGCGGGACAGGGCCTGGTTAGTGCTGTGGTGGGAGACCTCAGGGAACACCTGGTGCCTGAGTGGGGCGGCTGCTGCTGCAAAGTGCCAAACTGTTGTGTCCTTCGGCAAGACACTTCACCCACATTGTTGAGAATGAGTCTGGTGTGTGTGTGAATGGTTGGTGAAAACAAATACCTAAAAAATAAAACCAGTCCACACCATGGCCGTCATCTTTGAGGTCTTTCCAAAAGCTGAAGAGCGGAGACGGCCGTGTGCATGTGGCAGTGTTTAAGTCATTATAATAATATCACACATGCAGAGCCGTGTTTGCTGAGACAGCTGTTTGTTTTTCTCTCTGTAATGACTCACGTTAGCGGCGGTAAAATCAACACTGAAGGTTTGAAAGCCACCTCTCAGTTTGTTACAATAATAAACTCTGCAGCAGGAGCGGTGATGTCACTGCTCCTGAGGCCCGAGGCTTTTATTCAAACACAGGAATCTCTCAATCAGCGAGAAAACCTTCTGCTGATTATAGTTCTACTTTTGTTTTCAAATGAAAGCTGCATAATGTAAAATACAAAGTTTTATTTTTCCTCTGTCAATGATAGAACCTGTATTTGAATTCATCCATTTGAACGTACAATTCAAAAATAGCCATGGTCCTGGACTGGTTCTGAACTGGTTCTGAACTGGATCTGAACTGGTCCTGGGCTGATTCAGAACAGTCTCAGCTTTCAGCAAGTGCTAGTAACCATAGCAACACACTGATTACTTGATAGCAGTTAGCATTTAGTTAGTAAGTAAGTAAGTAAGTAAGTTTTTATTTATATACCGCCTTTTCACTGCAGATCTGAGTCTCAAAGCGGTTTACAATTGTTAATTTTGGGCATTTGTCTCTCACTCCACACAGAGATGGGAGCGGGGCCAGTACAGGAGGCACATGCCAGAACTATTGTACATATTTTTAGTGGTAGGGGAAACCGGAGTACCCGGAGGAAACCTACGCAGACACGGGGAGAACATGCAAACTCCACTCAGAAAGGCCCTGGTCCGGCCGGGATTTGAACCCAGGACCTTCTTGCTGAGAGGCTAGAGTGCTAACCACTCAGCCACCGTGCCGCCAGTTAGTTAGTCAGTTAGTGCGTCATTGATCCCGGTAGGTAGAAAAAAGAAAGAAAAATAACTCAAAATAACAACTGCTTCAGAGCTGCTGTTTCCAGAACATTCAAAAGTAAACCTTGATACTTGTTTCATCATTTATATTCAACTTAAGATAAGATTATTAATGGTTAAAAACAATTTAAAAAAAGGGCATACCTGCAGGTGAAAGCCAGATCCTGTCAGACCTCTTAAGCAAAGCAGGACAGGGCTTGGTTAGTACTGTGATGGGGGACCAGGTGCCACAGTGGGGCAACTGCGACTGTAAAGTGCCAGACTGTGGTTGTATTCTTCGGCAAGACACACATTAGAATGAGTCTGGTGTGTGTGTGTGAATGGTTGGTGGTGGTGGGAGGGGCTGATGGCACAGACTGGTTGCCTCACTTCTGTCAGTGTGCCCCAGGGCAGCTGTGTCTACAGTAGTAGTTTATCACCTCTGACTATGGAGTGAAAGGATGATGATGTGAAGCGTCTTTGAGAGTCCAAAAAAGTGCCATATAAAACTGATGCATTATCATGTTATCATTCTGTCATCACATCCCAGCAGTGTCTTCTGTGTTTGGGGTCCTCTGCAGGAGGAGCAAGAGCAGGAGGAAGAGGAGGAGGAGGCTTGCTCACAAAGAAATGTGCTGGTGATGGTATTGGGCTCATACTTAAAAGTCCATTAGAAGCAGCTGAGGTTAAAGCACCCGACCGGAGACGCCTCGTTCTTTGTGGGAAATGTCAGCTTTAAAATGAGCTTCACCAACATGAGTCACTGAGTGTGGAGGCTTTGTTTCAGACCAGAACTCTTAATCCACCCTCCTTTATCTACAGCCTCAGCCCTGGATCTACAGTCTCACGGGGAATTTACACAGTAGGCGTAAACAGCGCGTACGCGTTTACTGCGCGCTCTCTGCACGTAACATTTTTTTGGAGTATCTACACTGACCGTGCGCGCAGGTCCGCGTCTTCTGATGCTCTCTCTGTGTAGTCTATGGAGCAGTGCAGAGGACAGTACGGGCCAGAGGACTGATGTAGAGCAACACAAATCACATGCATGTGTTTGTCTTCATGGTCTCTGTTGCTGGTTTGGCCAGACGCGAGACTTTATAAAAGAAAAAAAACGATGTCCAGAATCACTGTAAAACCTGCTGCTCCTCCTGCTGATGTTTAGACACAAGTGCTGTGTGTGTGCAGATGTGATCTAAAGCCAAGGACCGCTAGAAAAATCATGTTTTACATGAGATTTCAATGGGAGACGCGTTGGTGCGCGCACAAAATTAGAAATCCATCCTAAATTAGAGCGCAGCTTCGCGTCATACGTCCGTCATACGCGCATATAACGCTAGAAGTGTAAATATCATCATAGGTTAACATGGAAAAAAGTTACGCGCGTCCGCTGCGCGTATAACGCGTACGTGCTGTAACGCGTGATGTGTAAATTAGCAGTCAGTCCTGGATCAACAGCCTCAGTCCTGGATCTACAGCCTCAGTCCTGGATCTACAGTCTCAGTCCTGGATCTACAGCCTCAGTCCTAGATCTACAGCCTCAGTCCTGGATCTACAGCCTGTCCATCCCTGGGAGCAGACTCCAGTGGGTCTCTCTAAGAAATCTTGATAGCAAACACATAGAAGCCATTGGTCCCACTCCCTATGGACCTCTGGCTCCTACGTGTTTGTTAGTGTTGTATTTCCTGTGTTTATGCATAGATAATATCATGGTGATATTACGAGGGAAAAATTCAGGAGTCCAGCAGCAGAAAACACATCCATTCATACAAACATAAATCAAACGTTGCAGACAGAAGGTTTGTCCTCTTTAGTTGAATGTTTGTCCTGTTGTTGGAGGCTTTGGTCTCCTCTGGCGCCGCACCTGTCCCTCTGCTCAATATTTGCTTTTATACAGCGACAGTAAATCCATATCTTAGTATTCTGTCCATGAGTCCAAACCATCGGGACTCCAGTTTCCTGGGAGCCTTGTTGTTTTATTTATTCAAACCTGGATAAAGCGATGGTCTGGAGGGAAATTTGTTGAATCAAGCCCAGTTTAGAGTTTGCATTATCAGCTTTCATTAGAGCCCGCTCCAAAGTAAACAGCGGGTTTGTGCGATGAATGACAAAGTGCATGATGGGAGGTGAATGCTGAGGGCATCTGAATCAAAGCCTGTTTTTGAAAGCTGCTTTGTAACTTTAACCCTTCTTCCTTCCATGAAATCCTTTGTTCGTGTCATTTTAGAATATTGTCATATTCACATTTTATATACTCTCAAAGACACTTCATTCCCTCTGTTCACAGTACTGATTACAGTAGCCACAGCTGCCCTGGGACAGACTGACAGAAGCAAGGCAACCAGTGTGTGCCCCTCCCACCACCATTGATCATTCACACACGCACGCACACACACACACACGCAGACTCTAATGTGGGTGAAGTGTCTTGCCTAAGTACAGTCCCTGTGCTCCTCAGATTCCCAGCAGGAGTCCAGTCCCTGTGCTCCTCAGAATCTGAGTCGATTCCAAGCCCCGGCGATCCAAGATGGCGGCATATTCAAAGGAATGGTTGTGCTCAGTGGCGCTTTGTGCCGGCATGGGGGCTGAAAGATTAGCGGAATTCGTCTGAAACTCGCAAAGATCTATGGAAAACTGGCCTGTATTTGGGCATCGTCTGGTCCTCCCGGTTCTGCGCAGTGGATGATCTCCCATGATGCGTTGCACCAAAGACGCGTGTGTAGGTCTCACATGGGTCTCACGCACGTGCACAGAGGGGCTCGGCTGCGCTCTGACCAATCAGAGCAGATCATCAGAGCGGGAGTTAGAGCTAGTTTGTGGCAGTAAAGTGTGGATTTAAAGAAAACCGAAGGATTTAAGAAGAAAAAAAGTTCAGGATGACAAGGGACACTAAAATCCCCACAAAATCCGACCTTCATGAAAGCTGTGGGTTCTCTGTCAGCTGAGGTCGAGCTGTTTTAGTTTACATTGAGTTCTATGGGGAAAATTTCTGGGTAGCCCACGTGAATTTGGTCTGGTTTAGTCGGCAGTACGGCGAGAATCCCCCGAGCACATGAGTTATTCAGCTCCAAGCTAGTAATACCCTATCCAGTTATTATAATAGATCCAAGGTCGATTCATATGTTACTCTGTCAGATCCGCCAGAAAAAGAAGCACAGAGCTTGGTTTGGATGACACTAATGTGTGTGTGAGGTTTTTAATCTATGGGAAGCCAGTGGAGTGATTTTAACACTGGAGTTATGTGTTCCCTCCTTCATAGGAAAATAGTTAATTATTGGTTAAATAGTTAACCAACGATTAGAAACATTTGTATGTATTATTGATGGTTATTGATAGTTGAGCTATGTCTATAGTTATCAATGTTCCCAGAGTCAGCAGATTTATATAGTGACTCTGGTGAAACTCTGGTGCAGTTTTCACAGTGTTTTCTTTCATCTGTAAAAACTCATTCTAAAGTTTTACTGTTTTGTTTGTTGCCACTTTACAACTCTCTTTATTGTTTCCGCTGTAAGAAATGTTCCGACTCCAAAAACATCGCCCTTTGATCGTCTACCTTTATGTTTATGTTTATGTACGCACCGCTGTAATGTAAATGACGGATAATGTTTTTCTCCATCTTTTATTCTTTCTTTATTCTCAGAGCTGCAAGAAATAGCAGTGACATTTCTCTGAACCCTCATATTCTCACGGCTTTGAAACTCCTTGGAAAGCAGCGAGGGGTGAAGTGAAGGCCAACGATGTGATTATAAGTCTGCAACACCAACGACTCTGGACCAATATTTTTGCAAAGTTTGGTCTGGGTTAGTTTATTTTAGATCAAAAATTGTCCTGGGGAGAGCTGTGGCCCTCAAACTCTAATAAAATATATATATATATATATATATTTATGCCTGCGTAGGTTTCCCTCGGGTGCTCCGGTTTTCCCTACCACTAAAACCATGCACACAAGGTTAAATCCTCCAGCTGCGCTAGTCCTGACCAAGCCGAGCATCAACATCTGGAGATGGGTTCCTGAGCGCTGTTACTACGGCGACCACAGCTCCTGACAAAAGCCTTCGCGGCATCAGGATGGGTCAAATGCAGAGGATTAATTGCCCTACGGGGATTAATAAAGTGCACCTTTGTATGAGGTTGAAACTGTGTATCCAGTCCCACGGTGGGGAAATGTCAGTGTTGCATCATCAGTTACAGAACAGTAGGAATGAGCAAACCAGTGTTAATTTGGACAAGAAATTCTAATTTTGTTTTAGTCTTAGGTCTTTTGACTAAAATGTATTGTAGTTTTAGTCAATTTTAGTCGACATAAATATGAAGCAATTTAAGTCAACAAAAATAAATAACAAATAAATATAAATTAGCGTATTTTATGAAACATGTTGCTTGTGACATTTGTATAAATGTACAAATATGTACAGTATTTTTGCTTGTAGCCTACGGTGACATTCGTGACAAGTCGCTTCATACTTTACATTGTTCGTGTCATGTGAATATTTCACACACATTAGAGCAATCTTCTTCCATGTAATATCCTTTGGCACAATAAAACAAACAAAGGTCCAAGCAAAGAAAAGTACCTTAGAGTGTTTTACATTTTGGTCCACATGATGTCTTTAGAGAAAATCAATCACCTCGAAGCTTGGAACCATGTGGCGGCGATGCTTCTTCACGGGGCTTCATATTACATCTCTGTTTTCTTCTTTGTCAAATGTAAAAAGAGCCACAGATCTCGTGAACATGTTATTGTTCTTTTCAGCACCAAATACTTTACAAGCTTACAAAAGTGGTGTTGTGGTTAGCGTTAGCAATAGTGGTGTTTAGTTAGCATTAGCAATAGCTTCTGTCCACAGCTAGCACCACCGGTGCTGACTAAGGCAAGCCCTCATTGGGTTTCCTCACATCTAGTCTGGCCAGTTGTTTTCTCATTATCCATATCTATCTCTACTTCCGATTGGATTTTGTCATGGTCTATTTTTCGTTTCTTTTTGATCCATTTAGTCTTTGTCACAATGACATGTCTTCTATTTTAGTTTACATCCCCAAAAATATTTTTGTGACAAAAAAAAAATCCAGGGTTTTGTATCCATGGACGTGTGCGGCTGTTTCTGACTCTGAGATTATCACCAGAGCAGAGTCTTGTGTCGGTCGTTCAGCACCTCACCCTCACCTCCCCCTCGCCTCCTGTAAACACTCACCGATCTCCACCACAATCACCGGCAGACTCGCGGTCTCCATCTGGTCTGTGTGAGCGGCAGGAGCTGAGCGAGCGCTGCATAAAAGTGAAGGTGAGAAATAATAATGGAAAAATCCTTGGCAGCGATTTTAATGCAGCTGAACAGGCTGTGTGTGTGTGTGTGTGTGTGTGTGTGTGTGTGTGTGTGTCTGTGTGTGTGTGTGTGCCCCTATGTGCTGTGTGTGTTGTATATGTGTGAGAATGTGTGTGTATGATGCTGTATGTGTTACTGTGTGTGTGTGTGTGCTAAGTGTTTGTGTAGGTATGCTGCTGGTTTACTGTGTGTGTGTGTGTTTCTATGTGTTTGTGTATGTATGTGTGTGTGCTCCTAAGTGCTGTGTGTGTGCATGTGTTGTATGTGTGTGAGATTGTGTGTGTGTGTGTGATGCTATGTGTCTGTTTGTTGCTTATAAGTCTGTGGTGAAGTAAATAAGCAGATAGAGTTCAGAACCAGACCACGACTATAACCTCTCGTTCCTCGATCTATTTGAAAAGACTTAACGGTAAGAGGTGTTTGAACGATTTTAAAATCTAGTTTTTGCACCAAACTTGGTTCCAAACGAAATAGATATAAAAGAGGACATTCAGTGACACTGGGCAGATAAAACATACATACAGACAGAACAGATAATACATCATACATACACCAGAGGAGGCACAACGTAGAGAAGAGGAGGCTATGGGTCTGAGGTCTTCTCCCACACGGTGCTGAAGCCTCCGCAGACCAAGACCCAGTTAGCAGAGAAGGAGACAAAGGAATTGATTGTTATTGATTGACCGGTGGTACATGAAATAGTGGATATGGCTGTGGTGTTTTTCTCCAGCAGACATATAGCATAACACTCATTCTGCCATATTTAAATATAAAAAAACGAAAAACACGCATACTCCTTTCGCCCTCCGTGGGCCCTTATCCGTCTCTTTGCCCGGGTCTTGGGAGGTTGAGGGTTCTGTGCAGTATCTTTGTTCCTACCACTGCACATTTCTGGACCGAGGATTGAAGTGTCTTGCTTAAGGACACAACCACAATTTGGCACTTTACAGCCGCAGCCGTCCCACTGTGTCACCTGATGTTCACAGAGGTCTCCCATCACAGTACTAACCAGACCCTGCCCTGCACAGTTTCAGAGGTCTGACGGGATCTTGCTTTTGCATGCAAGGTTACGCACTTGTCGTGATGTATGCAGGGCACAATTTATGACAACAATGACATCACCTGAAGCTAAACCCTGGTGGTGGAAGCTGAGCCAAGAGACAAAGTGTTGATAGGGAGGCGGGTTGCTGCACGAGCTGAAAGCCTTAGAGCCAGAATGAGAGGCACTGTTGAAACGCAGCAGGTGAAGCAGATACTGATGAGCAGAGGTACATGGGAGTTGATGTGGGGTAGTGACCATGGAGATATTTCAGTTTCAGTTCTAATACATTTTCTTTCTGTAACTGCATTTTAGTCGCCTTTTGGCAATGTCATTTTTCAAGCGTTCAGGGAAATGTGAAAATAATTTTGGAGGACAGAGTCAATAGAATCAGCTGATGTAACAGGGAATGGAAAATGGAATGATCTGATTATCCCCAGCTTCAAGGACAGACTCCCCTCAGAGTCAGACGCGGCTCTGATTGGTCGGTCTCACACTCTTCCCTCACTGTGAACATCAGACTCTTGTGAGATACTTGAACTCTTTCTCTGGAGGATGGACCTGGGCACCTGAGAACGACTTGGATTCTTCTCCAGATCAAGAACCACATTTTCACCGCTTCACACTTCGCTGCAAACCGCACCGGTGCCTGATGCTATTTCCATCTAACTAACCTAGAAATGCCCATGTTTACTGTGTTCCAGACCCAGCTCACTCTGTTCACTTCCATTTATGTTTGTACAGCTCTAAATCACAACAGCAGTCGTCTCCTAAGACTGCAAAGAAAAGATCAGAGAATACAACAGTTCAAACACGGGAAATGCAATAATCCCAAACACATAGAAGCCATTGGTCCATAGGGAGCAGGACGACCACTGTACGTACTTGTTAAGAATTGTGCATAAATCTCCTGGATCAACACTGTCCTTCGACCCTCCTGCATCAGAGATGAGCTAGGAAAAAACGCTGACTGTAGAACCAGGACTGAGGCTGTAGATCAAGGACTGAGGCTGTAGATCCAGGACTGAGGCTGTAGATCCAGGACTGAGGCTGTAGATCCAGGACTGAGGCTGTAGATCCAGGACTGAAGCTGTAGATCCAGGACTGAGGCTGTAGATCCAGGACCGAGGCTGTAGATCCAGGACTGAAGCTGTATAGATCCAGGACTGAGGCTGTAGATCACAGCCCCGTGAGTTCGGGCCAGTTCACAGGTACAGGTAAAAAAAGCCGATTGAGGGGTCTCATCATCACACAGACAAGGGGGCAGCAGGTGAATAGCAATGAACAGACTACAGCTGAAGTCATTATGATGACAGATGAAGGAGGATATCATTCTTCTCCAGAAAAGCGACTCCATCTGCAGCTTGACTGACAATCTGGGATTTTAGACTTTATTTTGAAATGAAACAAATTATAAGTGTGTGATGGGTTACATTATTATAATAAAATACATGATATGGTTGTATTTCTTGATAAATAATTTACTTTAAAGTGAGGTACAAGTTTTCATGGAGGCTCCTATCAACCTCACCATCAATGCTGCAGGTTAATAGTAATAACCAAAAATCATTTCAAGGGCCACTAAAAACAACTGACTGGACGCATTTGGCCTGTGGGCCTTGCGTTTGCGGTTCAAAACATAAAAAACATGAGTAGAAGTAAGAAGAGAGAACAGAGGAAGAAAGAGGAGCAGGGGAGGGTGGGCTGCGTGTCGATGCATGGATGGAACAGATCAGCGAGAGGTAGATAAGAAGCGCTGGCTGTGGGCCGCTGTCAAAAGCCTCTGCTTGATTTATTTTGCTGTTTGTGATGACAGGAGGCAGAGCTGGATCAAAGACCGCTGCAGACGGAGGTGGAGTGGGGGAGTGTAGATGGATGAGAAGCCCGGGAGGTGAGACCACGAGGAGAGGGGGGGAGAGAGGTGCAGAGGTGATGGAAGAGCCAAGGCCAAACGGATGATCTGCTCCAATATGCCTGAATATGAAGAGATGGCACTTGGATGATTTGTGCGGCGCTGACAGGAGGGAGGCTGGAGCTGCAAACATCCCCTGGACACGCAGACGCTGGGATGTTTCCTTTAGGCCGATGTTTTAAACTGATGGTTCCAAAAGGAGATGGAAACACACCGATTTAATGAAGTCTTATGGCGACTTGACGAATGTTGTTGCAGATGTGTTGAGGTGGTGAGCAAAAGCAAAGCAAAAAACTGTCTCAGGGCAATTTAGGATCTACGAAAGACAACTGTTTGTTCACAAATCAAAAATGACCAATTTACCCACGAGCTGCCGTTTGTTTTCTTGACTGAGCTGGGTTTTGGATAGCCTGACTCTCGCCAGACTCATGTAGTTCGCTGCACTTCACACATGAGTCTGGTACTGAGCAGTGTTGCCAACTCCTCAGTAAGGAAAGTAGCTATTGGCTGTCCCAAAAGTCGCTAGAAGTCGCTAAATGACGTCATCGCCTAATTTGCATAATTTGCCATTTGCAAATAACTGTAACGGACGCTGTAGGAGAGAGGAATAAGGTCGTGGGAGAGACAAAAGTGAGTAAAAACACCCTAAATATGTTTAGAACTACAAATGTACAAAAATAATTTCAACATTAACAACATTTAATGATTTTAATGCTTTGTCTAGATCCACATTACACACATCAGTTTTGTCCTGTATTGTTAAATGTTATAACAGCAAATGTAATCAAAAGATTGTTATGTAGGGTGAAATTGCTAGCTCTACAACCAACCCTCCTCCTTTATCCGGGCTTGGGACCGGCAAAGTGACCCAAAAGACACACTCTGGCAGAGTTACTTAGGTTTATTTATTTTTTTTATTTTTTTCATAGTTTGGCATAACAAATGATTTAATGTGACCCACTACTGAGAGAAAACAGAGTCACGGACAGAGCTGCCGCGGATGGAGTGGGGGGTAGTGGGGGGTGGCGGTGGTAGGAGTGGCCGGGGAGCTTTGGATGTGTGGTGGTGGTGGAGCTGAAGTTCAGTCTGCAGCAGCCTGAAAACTCCCTGTGCTTTTGAGTCTCCTCTCTCTCTCTGCTCCGCCCATAGACTGTAGCTGGGACTGCTGCGCAAGGCTACTGTGAGACTGGCCGCCTGTAAGTGCTTTGGGACGGGGGAGGGGCTCACGTTGAGGACAGCAGAACAATACGTGCTTCACGAGTCTCCAAAACACCAGATAAGTCGCCAAAACACCAGATAAGTCGCCAATAACACCAGAAAAAGTCGCTAGATTTGTCGCTAGTCGCTTTTTTGAAAAAAAGTTGCTATAGGGGTCTGAAAAGTCGCTAAATCTAGCGACAAAGTCGCTAAGTTGGCAACACTGGTACTGAGCCATAGTGGTTGGATTTCAGAAGGCAGGGCCTTGTAAAAAAAAAAATCCTTGTATGTGATTGGATAGACACTTGTCCGTTATCTTGAATGAAGTCTGCTTTCAACCACTCACATCGAAGCACACGGCTCCCATAGGTTGCCAAATCCCACCAATATTTTACAACCCAAAATCCGCGAGAATACCCACACACAAAAAACACTCAGAATGATTTTTTGGCTAAAAACGTAATATAATCAACTTGGGCTATCATGATTCTGTTTATTGTCTTTCTGTTACCTAAAAGTCTCTTGGAAAAAAATATGCGGTAACCACCAAACCTGGCAACCCTGCTGCATAGTGTGTAAACAGGAACACTGAACCAGTGCTTCAACCAAACTTTACAGGAACATTTGACTCTTAAAACACACATATATCAACATAGAACCATCTACATCTCGCCTCAAATTGCATTAAAAGTGACATCCGTGTCTTAATTCGATCGTATTTACTCTTTTAAAAAGATTCGCGGACTTTACGTCCGCCATC